ACCAAGTTTCAAGCACCTAAAATAATGCCAGTACATCTAGCCCTCAATACATACTTGTCAAATGAGCAAGTGAATGAATGAATGAATGAATTATAATACTTAAAAATAATTGTAAATGATTGTGAACAGTGAGAGAGCTCTTACTTGGTGTAAGGTGGCCTCCTGTCTTATTCCCATTTTACAAATTAAAGGATGGACATAAGGGTTGGATTAGTTGCCTAGGACCCCTTGCTATAGCTGGTAGAGCTGGATAGTCCTGCTAGAGTAGAGCTCTGAGCCCCTGCTTTGCTTTCCTTTCTTTTTCTATTTTTATTTATTTATTTATTTATTTTTGTAGTGCTGGAGGTTGAACCCAGGGCCGTGAGCATGCTAGGCAAATGCTGTACTACTGAGCTACACCCACAGCCCTATCTATCTATCTATCTATCTATCTATCTATCTATCTATTTATTTATTTATTTTGAGAGAGCTGGAGGTTGAACCCAGGGCCGTGAGCATGCTAGGCAAATGCTCTACTACTGAGCTACACCCACAGCCCTATCTATCTATCTATCTATCTATCTATCTATCTATCTATCTATCTATCATCTATTTATTTTGAGAGACAGGGTCTTGCTAAATTGCCCAGGCTGGCTCGAATTTGTGCTCCTGCCTCAGTCTTCTGAGTACCTGGGATTGCAGATGTTCATCAGTTTAGCTGGGCTGGTTCCTCTTTGGTGATACCCTCTGTTGTCTACAAAAATGCTTCTTTTCTTTTCTTTTTTTTTGGAGGGGGGTGGATACCAGGGGTTGAACTCAAGGGCACTCTACCACTTCACCACTGAGCCACATCCCTAGTCCTATTTTGTATTTTAAGGAACTCACTGAGTTGCTTAGCACCTCACCATTGCTGAGGCTGGCTTTGAACTCTCGATCCTCCTGCCTCAGCCTCCTAAACTGCTGGGATTGCAGGTGTGTGCCACCACGCCCGGCTTTGTTTTCTTATATTGGCATTTATGGCTTCCTTAGAGGGATTCTGGGAGGAGGTTGTATAGGTTAAGGAAGTCCAAAAGTTAGAGAAAGCTAAGAACACCTTATACCTTGAATAGTAGTTATGGCCATGATTTAAGATGTATCTTAAAATGTAATGTTTTCAAGACAAACAGTTTTTCTTCATTTCTCAAATACTCTGCAGAGAGCATGTTTTAATTTTATAAGAAAACAACTGGGTATGATGGTATCTCCCTATAATCCCAGCAATTTGGAAGGCTGAGGTGGAAGTTTCAGTTTAAAAGGTCAGCCCCAGTAAGCCAGTGAGACCCAGTCACAAAACAAAAACCAAACAGTAAGTAGGTAAATAAATAAATTAATTAATTAAAGAAGTTAGGAAGGAAGGAAATCCTAGAAAACATCTTTTAAACCTAGTTTTGTCTCATCATCCCAGATGTGGAACACATATGAAAACTTAAATTGAGTAACAAATATACTACTTACAGTAACTTTGAAATGATATTTGAATATTTATTATGTTTGCAGTATTAGACTTGGGACTTAAGCCTTTTCTACAAACTCTAGAAAAATAGTTCTGCTCTGTGGGTGGGCACTGAGTTCTTGAGGCTGACTCAGGTTCTGTCATAAATATGTGGAGGGCTTGACATAAGAGTATAGCATCTCTATAGAACAATTCAGTGATCTGTCCCCTTTAATTATGAGGCTCTAACACCCCACCCAGGGCCTCACAGTCACCTGTGTCCAGCTGGCAGTGGAAGGAGAAAAAGAAGATGTTGTGTGGAGGGGCCCACACACTTCTTCAAAGCGTATCACTTCAGTACAGTGCTTCTGGCCACCACCAGGTCACATGGCCTCCCTGGGAAGAGGCAGGTCTAATAGACAGTGGGTAGTGGGAGGGTTGGCATGGGGGACAGCAAGATCTGAATGACCCAGCAGCTAAATTCCTTCTGGGACCAAGAGGAGAGTCTTGCAGCCGCTCTGAGCCTCAGTCTTCTCACCTATAAAATGTGAACAGGGAAGTCTTTATTTCCAGCCTGTAATGAGGGATAAATGGGGTGATTTATTCTAAAGTGTTTTGTGGGTATAAATATCTATGCAACTCTGGGGGTCATTATTTCCCAAGGGACTGAGAGGAGATGGCCCTGGCACCCCTTTCTCTTGCAGCATCCTGTTTGCGGACATCGTGGGCTTCACAGGCTTGGCATCCCAGTGCACGGCCCAGGAGCTGGTGAAACTGCTCAATGAACTCTTTGGCAAGTTCGACGAGTTAGCCACGGTAAGCTCAGCATTTTCCTTTGTTCAGGTTAAATCAGAATGGCTTCTGTGCTCAGTGATTCCCTGTATCTAGAATGGGAGCTAGACTGAGTGCCAAGTCATTTATCACCAGGAAGGTGGTAAATTGCTGTTTTTGGAGCCTCACTGTTCATTGATTTCTCTCCTTGGATTTGCACATACCAGATTAGTGCACATGGCACAAACTCTGCCAGTGTACCTTTCAACCAAGTCTTCTAGAAAGAGGCTGTGTCCTGCAGGCTGTGCACAGGCACAGAGCTGCCTTTTGCCATTCCTCCTGGCAGACAGAGCCAGTGGCCACAACCCCTCGTCCTGAGGCAGCCATGGCCATGTCTCTACTGACACTGGGCTTGCCACTCTTCTGGGGCTGCAACTGCCAGTGGACATGCTGAGTCTGGGCAGTGGTCATCTTTGCCCTCAATAGGCTTCATGCTGGAGTGGAACAGGTCATAACTGGCACCAAGTCCTGCTGAGGTCCAGCCAAGGCTATGCTAACAGCTTTGGCTTGAAATGTAGTGTTTGGATGTTGAGAACAGTAAACCCACAGAGCCTCCATGTGTGCCACATAATCCCCTGGGCTACCACTTCCCCCCGTGGGAGCCTGGTCAATAGCCTCAGGAGCTCTTTGCATTGGCCAGCAGGCTCTGAGGGGCTACCAGGCTCTCCCCTTCATCCTGGAACATGTTGGTGTTAAAAGCAGAAAGAGAGAGCATGTGGGGCAAGAGTCCAAGTTTCAGAACTGACTATGCCAGGCCTCAGGAGGGCACATTTGCTGAGTGGGATGCCCTTCATTTTTCTCTACTGCCCAGGGGAATGTTTGGGATAAATTGCACTGCTCACAGCAGTAATCAGATCAGAGCTAAGAATGTGCCCTGCTACTCTGTAGCGGAAATCCTCTTCTAGCTCTTTCATCTGGCAAATCCTCCTGATACTGGTTCCCAGCCTGTGCAGGCAGGGGCAGCTTCTGCAGGAAGACTGACCACAGCCCAGGAAGCTCCTCTCTCAGTGGGAGGAAGGGAACAGAGGACAGTGGTGAGATGCCCAGATGTGAGGCTTCCTGGGGCATTGGCCATCAGGGCTTCCTTAGACCCCAGACCCTCACCATCTCTGCTCTTTGAGGAGGTGGAAGGAGCTCATGGGATGGAGCCAAGTTTCCCTTCTCTTTTGTTGAGCCCCTCTCCAGGTGGGGAAGGGAGTGCTGAGGTCAGTGGATGGGGAGGGAGCAGCCAGCTCCAGGGAAAATCAGTGCCTTTCTCAGTGGGAGCAATGGTGAAGGTCTTGGGAGAAAGAGTGGATGTTCCCTCAATGGAGGGGATAGGAGAGGGCCCTGCTGGGGCTGGCAGTGAGGCAATAGAGTTGAGAGCATCTTTGCATGGTGTAGGCTGAGTGAGGAGCCCCACTGGGCAGGGCAGGGCCAGGCGATGATCACATGGGGCTGAGATGCTGAACTTGCTTTACTTGGGTGATTTCGTTTTGGGGTCCAGCTGTGTGTGTGGGAGCAAACCTGGGCATGCAGGTAGACATCTGGAATAGAGAGAGAGAGCTTAAGAGGGCTGGGAAGGAATGGGCCTGGAGGCTTTGGACACTGCTGTCTTTGGGGGGTCCCTGTGGGGAGCAAATGTCCTGAGATCCAATCCTAATGTTGCTGTCTGCATTCCTAATGGGCTGGTTAAAGGAGCCCTTTCTCCTTGGGCACCCCTGGGCATGCTGGGCCAGGGTGCTATGGAACTCTATTTGGGAAAGGCTGTGTCCTCCTTCCTGAGGAAGAAAGGAAGGCGATGGCTTTCCATCTGGGAAGGGCACACTTTCTGGCTGAAATGATGTTTTTGCCTGGCCTGGGGGCTGCCTGTCTATGGTACCCTTGTAGCCCTGTCTGACTATCCACTGTCCTTGTCCCCAACTGTGGCTATAACTATCTTCCCACAAGCTTCACTGTCTTCTTAGGTAAGTCCCAGGGCTCTTCCTTCCTATCTGCTGCATAGGATTTCTGGCTGCCATGAAGGAGGTATGGTGAGCCATGCCTCGGGTGCTCCTCAGTGCATGGGGTAGGACTCTAGCCCCTCTGTAGTAGTCAAAAAACACAATTTGTCTAGGTGCTGTGGGATGGCTAAAGCTTCCAGGAAGAACTGTGACCTAGGGCTCTTACAGAGCAGTGAATAGCATTCCCAAGGGCCTGTTTCTTGCTTCACCCTTTACCAGAAAGCTCATCCTTATGGAAGCTCCTGGATAGGGTGTCCCAATTAGTCCTGCCAGGGCTTTCTTTCCTTTTTTTTTTTTTTTCCTTTTCTTCTTTTCTCTCCTAGTCTGAGCTTGTACTGCCAATGGGAGGGGTTGGGTCATTTTTGTATGGTGTTTGAAAAGTCTTTGCCCAAAGGGCTACCATTATGTGTTGGTTTCTCAAAGCCACGGTGGCAGATTACCACAAACTTGGTGGCTTGAACCAACAGAAATTTGTTTTCTCAGTTTTGGAGGCTGAAAGTCTGAAATCAGTACTGCTTGCCCCAAATCAAGATGTTGGCAGATGTTGCACGTGGTGGAGCATGCCTATAATTCCAACAACTTTGGAGGCTGAGGCAGGAGGATGGCAAGTTCAAGGCCAGCCTTATTAACTTAGTGATATCCTGTCTTGAAATAAAATAAGTGTGGAGGAGATTCTGGGGATGTAGCTCAATGGTAAGCATCCCTAGTTTCAATCTCCAGTACCAATAATATGTAAATACATAAAAAAATAGATGTTGGCATCAGCATCCCCCCACCCCAAGGAGAATCTGTCCCTTGCTGTTTACATCTTCTCTTGACTACTGCAGTTCCTTGGCTTGTGCCATATCACTCCAGTCTCCTTTATCTTCATGTTGTTGCTTCTCCTCCTTCTCCTTCTCCTTTTCTTCCTCCTCCTCCTCTTCTTCCCTTCTCTTCTTTTTTTTTTTAGAAAGAGAGAGAGAGAGAGAGAGAGAGAGA